TCTCAGACTCCATAACCCCACACGGGGCCACTGTGGCTCTCCCACCTGCGCCTACCTTCTTGTCCTCAGCTGAATTATTCAGAAAGGGAGGAAGAAAAGGAAAAGTGAGAACTCCTTTTAAAAAGGTGTTTCTCTTTTCATGTGTGTATATGTGTGTGTCTCTGTTTACATGCCCTGTGCTTACCTTATGCTTGTTGCTACTTATCCGCTTCCCACTAGATGGTGAGCCTGTCTTCGGGAGAGTGCTCACCAGGTTTGCATTACATAGCGAGCCGGGAAGGCTCTGTGTCGACACAGGTGAGTAGATGTTTAGACATGGGAAAGTGCAGTCTGTGCCTTCAGAGGCCCAGTAGAGGAGCCAGTGGGGACTGGCCTCTTTAAAACAAACAGGCCAGAGCCACAGAGGTCAATAGTAAGTGGCCAGTCTTGCGACCCCAGACTGCCTCTAGTCCCATGGTGGCGTTTTTGTTTTCCATAAAGCATATTTTGAAGCCCTTTTTTATTCTTGGATTGGGAAACCATAGAAACCTCAGTATCTGTTGTCATAATTTTTATGAGCTATAGGTCTTGAGAAGAGTGTCTTCTTAGAACCCAGATTTTAGTTCATCTTTAAAGTATGTAAGTAGGCCAACCAGATCCACACAAAACCTTATTATCCCTGTCATTCCCCACCCCATGGGGTTTCTCTGCTTGGCGTGCGTATTCCTTCCAGTCACTGGTGGGCTTGGAGACTAGAGCAGGTTGGCCTTTACTAGTGTGGCCCTTTGCGGAAGGGGTCAGTGACCTTTTAATTACTGCACCAATGGCCTCATTCAGGTGACCACCTTTCATCATGGAAAGTCTTTTCTACTTATTTGAGGTTATTTTTTACCATCCTGCTCCCTTCTGCCCTGAGCCATGCACTCCCAACTCTAATGCCCCTAAATTTCCCATGTTGAGAACTCAGCTTCTGCTGGTATTGCCCACACCAGCTTCTTTGCAGCCTTCTCCACCTCAGTTTCAGTTAGGGGCAGACACCCGTGTGGCGTTCGCACAGGAGGCCTTGGTGTTGGCCTTGGCTCCTCATCTGCACACATTTCACATCTGGTTGTCAGCAGAGTCTATCAGCTCGGCCTTCATATCTGTAACGTGCCCACCTTCGTCACCTCTCCTGCCCCACCGCGGTCCCACCAAGCCACCATCTTTAGAGGAGCCTTCCTGTTGGCCCTGTTCCTGCCTGTGCCCCCTTCCATGCAGAAGCCGGAGCAAGCCAGATAATGTGCAGGCCCGCCTGTGTTGCTGCTCTGCTCCCCTCATGCCTTCCCTTCCCGTTCAGAGTAAGGGCTGAGGCCTTTCTCTGACCCACAAGGCATGCCCTCGTCTTCCTCCCAGTCACTGCTCTCATCTCATTTTCTAATTTCCTCCTTCGCTATGCTCCAGCCACACTGGGCTCTTTGCCTTTCCTTACACAAGCCAGGTATAGGCCTTGCCTCGGGGCTTTTGTACTTGCTTTTCCCCGTGCATGCTGTACTTTTCTCCAGATGGCTTGGCAGGCTTCCTGCTTCCAGGAGAGGCTCAGAGGCTTCTACAGCACTCTAGCTAAAAATTCAGCCCTCCCCTGACATGTCATGCTCCCCTCCTTTCTTTTTTTTTTCCTTCAAATATAGTAGTTATCGCTGGCTAAGTGTACCGTATGTTTTACTTATGGCATGTATTACCTGTCTCCTCACACTAGAAGGTCAGCTCCATGAGGTCGGAGATTTCTCTTGTATTTTGTTTGCTGCACTGTTCCTGCCATCTGGAACAGTGCCTGGTCTTCAGAGTTGCTCAGTAAATCAGTTGGATGAGTGAACAAAATTGCTCAGCAGTCCCACACGGCTGTTTCATCTCTCTCAAGTTCACTCCCATTGGAGGGAGATGGTCTGTATTTCCAGTTGTTTGCTGGACGTTCTGCTCAGGCTTCACATCTGCTGGAGGTCCTCGTCCCCCATCTTCAGCCTCTCCAGACTGGCATGTCATTGCCTCCCTCCTCATACAGATTAGTTGCTGATCCTGTGCATGGCCCGTGTTTTCCTCGTCTGTGATGGAGCTCTGCTCAGAATGCCCCTTTTCCTCTCCTTATTGCCCGCCTTCCAGCCCCACCAGCTCAGATCCTGCCAGAGCCAGCTGCCATCCACTTCATCCACAGGAGCCTCCTCTTTTCAACCAGGAAGAGCTCTCAATCCAGTGTCCCTGGCACTGTCTGTGTGCCTCTGCTCTGGCAGTTTCCTTTCCTGCACCTTGGTTAGCTGTGTGCGTTCGTGGTTGGCCTCTGCTGGGCCACACGTGGAGGGCTGTGTCCGTCACTTACTAACAAGACATGTTTCTTCTGTAACACTTGGTGGTGTCTTAAACTTGGTTAGCACTCTATAAACTCACATGATTCAATGAGTAAGTTAAGGTAGAGTGTCTTATGATATTGCAGTGTAGTTTCCAAAAGCCTAAAAAGTTTTATTTTTCTATTTGAGAGAGAACTGATTACTTTAGGCATTTTAAAATTTAAAACCCCCCACTAACCTTACTGCTTCTCTTTCTTTTATTTTTATTTGTTTGTTTAGTTTGCTTCTCCTTCTTTTAAAGTTAAGCTCCTTCCTCAGTTATAAGAGAACATCAGCCATCTCTTCTACAGAGGCTGCATGGTAACTCCACTGTCTTTGCCTTCGAGAATTTTTTTGGAACAGGCTTAATTAAAGTTGATTTGACACAGTTTGGTCTAAGATTTGCTCACTAGTATCACTCACTAATATTTGTGTTATATGTGGTCCAAATATGTCCTAGATTCTTTAGCTTGAGGCATAAGAGTTTTCAGAGATTTATTTCTTTTTTCTTTTAAAGATTTTATTGGGGAATTGGGGGGAGGGGGACACAGCATTGGGGAATCGGGGAAGGGGAACAGACAAGTTGCTGTCTTTTTGTTCTTCAGTCTAGTTGTGGAGGACGTCGCTTCACTGGCCCATGTTGGTATTGTGATCATTGCACTCTTCCCGGCTGAGGCAAATTGGTCGCCGGCCACTCACGGCAGCTCACGCTGGCTGCCGGCCACTCACGCCCGCTGCCGGCCACTCAGGGTAGCTCACGGAAGCCCACCGCAGCCCCACTGCAGCCTACGCCATCGCCAGCGACTCACAGCAGCCCAGCTCCAGGTTGAGCTGTTGTTCACCATCTAAGCTGTAGAGGGTGCAGCATCACTGGTCCATGTGGGATCCGAACCGGCGGCCCTGCTGTGCAGAGCTTGCGCTCCCAAGCCAGCTCTTAACCTACGAGCCACTCGGCCAACCCTGTTTATTTCTTTAAAAAGTTGCCTTGAGTGAGAGACCTATTTAAGCCTTTTAGCTCTAAGTTCATTTAACGTAACATGAGCACTGTTATCAACAGTGATGAGCTTCAATCATCTTTGACCAGTTATACTATAATTAGGTGAGGTACATGCTTCACGTAGTTTATTCCGTGATACTCCATTGCTGCAAGTATGAAGTTTAAACAGAAAAAACTGGACTCACTCCCAAGTAGACTACTATACAACATATTGTGGAGTGGCTTTGGTGTCTCCTGTTCCTTTTCTTTGGTCTTTCTGTTCTGGTCTTTGGCTTTCATGTCTTTGTTCTTGTGGTTGGCATTCTCATTGTTGTTCATCGTGTTGATGTGGAAATAACTTCTAAAATTTCATTTCTATCTGATGAGCTCCGTTTCACCAACCTTAGTCTTCAGTTCCAGAGATAGGCCTGCTTTTTAGAATCATTTGTTATTACAGCAGTGACAGTCCTAATTATTAAACTTTTCAAAACCCTGTAGGCACTCTCACCCCTTACTTTTATCAGTGTTTTCTTGTTTATAGAAGTGCCTATGAATAGTCCCCCAAACCACAAACGCCTTGTTACCCTAAAGCACCAGTGTCTGCTAGAAGACGGGTTTAACAACTTGGCATTCCTCTCTTGAAAGGGGGCTAACTCTTTGTCCTAAATGTTTTCGTTTTAGAGACAAGTAACAATATAAGGCTGTCTTGTCTCATTCATCTGTCTTCCCCTTGCTGGATTATTTGCACTTCTGGTATGATCTATGCAACTGATTTTTCTGGGAATGCTACAGCCAGCATTGTTTTTTACTGCTACTATAATTTTCACTGTGAAGAGTGATCATTTTTCCTACCACTCAGATATTTTGAAATGTGTTTATGCCCATGTGTAATTTAACACTCAAATAACATTTTTCTTAGGCAACAGCTTACCTCACAAACTCTCATACTGCTTCCAGTAAAGAGATGATCTGGTTTTATAACATATGTAGCAGGTTAAATTTCTTTAAGTTGAAGCATCAGATAAAGTAACTTTAATGATAGTAAAAACCCTTCTGTGGTCTTTTCATAGAATTGGCAGAAAATATTTTAAAAAGGTGTAGTTTGAATAATTTTAAAGCACAGTGTCACTTAAAGAAGGTGTTGAGTACAAGACTTGAATAGAAATTAGTTTGTTCTTAGGTATTAATTTTACACTAGAGAGTAAGGGTGTATATACCAAGCTTTTGCCTGAAAAATTAGTGAAATTTATGGAGATTTAAAGTGGTAATTGGGGAAATGTTTTGGAGATGAAGAGTTGCAAATGACAGGAAAATACAGAATCTGAAACAGAAACAAAGTAAAAGGATAATAAATAAAGCATCCTGATTCCTCCTTCTCTTTGGCTGCCAGGATGCCCAGGACCAGTGTGCGTAATATTCCTGGTTATTTGTTATTCTTAGTTCTCTCATTTATTTTATCCTTTCTTATTTTTGAAGCTGCCTTAAAACTTTATTTTTTTTTTCCCTGAAAGAGATGAGGAGTAACTAAAAGTGAAATAATAAGGCGTTTCATGGCTGTGTCATACATTCCTTTTGTCTTATAACTGGGATATCTTTTTGAGACTCTTATCTAAATTGCACTGGTAACTAAACCCTACCTGGTTCTGTCAGTGTGCTACTAACTTCTCTGTACTTGTTTCGTTTTGTAGATTGGCTCACAGAGTGATTGCTCATCCCCGTTGGACTTTGGTTCTGTGGTGCAAATGGAGTGCAGGACTCAGTTGTCTGGGCCAGAGTGACAGAAGCCTGATGTCCAAGATGGAGAAGAAACGAAGAAAGAAATGAAAGCCTCTTTTCAGGCCACACCACAAAAGGCCATGAAATTTAACTTTTATTTACATTGGACAAGACTGTAAAATGGCTGATCAGTAATGTTTCGGCTTTTAGCTGAAACAAAAATTAACTTATAATCAAGGAAGAAAAAAAGTGCGATTTGAATTTATGCAATTTTATGACCATATTCACTTATGACCATGAAGCTTGTCAACATCTGGCTGCTCCTGCTAATGGTTTTGCTCTGTGGGAGGAAACATCTGGGTGACAGACTGGAAAAGAGATCTTTTGAAAAGGCCCCGTGCCCTGGCTGTTCGCACCTGACTTTGAAGGTGGAATTTTCTTCAACAGTGGTGGAATATGGTAACGATCTTATTTTAAATGTTAGGGGCTTCCCCCGCTCCCCTTTTCCCATTTTTGTTTCAAACTTATTTTAAACATTAGCTTTTGCCAACAAATATATCCCTCCTATTTACAGTAAATTTCAAAAGGAGTGAGTGTATAGCGCTTGGATGTTATTTCTGCTCAAGTTTGTTTTCCCAGTGTAGTTAGCTAATATGAAGCAAGAAAATCAACATTCTGCATTATTTCCCTAAAATCGGATTCCATGGAACAGATGCTACTGTAGCTAGTGAGGGTGGGGGGTTTGGAGGTGTTGGCTGTTACGTTCTGAAGTTCAAGTGACCAGATGTGAATAACTAGCAAATAGTCTCATGTGTATATAATCTCCAAATTTTGTTACGGTTTTCAGTGAAATAAAATTAAGCCTTCACTTCTTTGGATTCCTTTTACCTATTTGAAAAACTTACATGCATTTCTTTGCTGTCCATTCAAACTTCTGTTAATATTTGCTATTTAAAAAAAGAGCACAAGTATCTGATCTTGAGTGATGGATCCTGTGATCAGGGGACTCATACAGATCGTTATAACTTAAAGCTCTGGAAACTGCTGTGCAGAGCATTCAAACCAGTCCCTTTGTTTACTGCTCTTTCCACTGTGGGTTTTAAGATATGTAAGTTGTTTTTTTTTTACCAGGGAAAATTTAGATTGGATGTAATCTTACGTTACATATGTATATAAATTCTTATTTTTATTTGTGGTCATTGATTTCAGAATATATTGTGGCTTTCAATGGATACTTTACAGCCAAAGCTAGAAATTCATTTATTTCAAGTGCCCTGAAGAGCAGTGAAATAGACAATTGGAGAATTATTCCTCGCAATAATCCATCCAGTGACTACCCTAGTGATTTTGAGGTGATTCAGATAAAAGAAAAACAGAAAGCGGGGCTGCTAACACTTGAAGATCATCCAAACATCAAACGGGTAACACCCCAACGGAAAGTCTTTCGTTCCCTCAAGTACGCTGAGTGTGAGTACTGAGATCTCAGGCTAATTTGCGTCAATTTGTTTCTCTTGGATTTAGAGACAGAATGTACATATTGACCCATGACAAGCTCCCCCACCCTCCTACACACACACACATGACTTTATTTTGAAAAATTTCAAGCTGGCAGAATAGTTGAAAAATACTACAGTGAATGAATACCTATGACCTTTCATCTAATTTCATTAGTTATAAATGTTTTCTTGGCAGGAACTTAAAAACCAAAAAGAGGCATCATGTTAATCTGGTAGGAAAAAAATCAGAGTTTACAGTAGAGGGTGACAGTGAGCATTGTTTCTGTCAGGAGTGGTTTTTCACCTGGGTTCATCTCCGAGCCTTCCAATTGAGGCCCTGTTCTCTGAGGCCCCTTCACACTCTGACATGAAAGACGGTGTCTCTGAGTCTCCTCTTTACTTGAATTTTGCTTTTATCAGTATGTGTTTTCATTTTTTATGGCATCTTGCAAAACGCCTTTTCCGTGGGTGTCATTTTGTTTGCTCAGAGCCTCCCGACCATGCATGATCACGCCTTGGCGGTGCTGTGGGGTTGTCCGGATGGAAAGAATGTGGTGATTGCCTTTTCAGCATGAGGGCTTATCCTTTCCTACTTCTTTACAACTTGGGCTTGTCAAGATAGAGTTTATCCTCAAAAATTAATTGCATACTTATTACATAATATTTCCCAAAGCATATGTATTACCAAAGGAAAGGTGGTTTCTTTTTTCCCCTACTCGTCATAAACTAGGGTAACAAATTGCCAGTTCTCTTATTATTTACTACCATTTCCTTCATTGGAAGGGGAAAAAAAATTGCTTTTCTTCCTTTGTCCTATACTAGGCCTGAGAGCCTCTTGAGTTTTCAAAAACATAGGGGAAATGGCTAAGTCGTTTGCATAGTGTGACCAGTCAGTTCTGGAGTCAGCTCTACAATTTGGGCATCTGACTTCTTCAGCGTTCTTTCTACTAGCCCAGTGTTTTGTAGTGCTTTTTCTCTTTAAAAAGCAATAACCTCAAAGCAATCCAGGAAGATTAAAAACAAATCAAACCTTGGACTATTAGCCAAATATAATACATCATTCCCTATTGTTTTTTAATCTTAAAGAGCTCCAGAATATTTTAGGAAATACGGAGATGCCTGATTTTAGCACTGTAGTCATAGACTCTCATGATTGGGCTTCCTTGATTCACTCTCCACCATGGCTGTCTAATGCTCTGCTTGACTAAGGAGATAGCTGACTGCCCGATGGGCCCAGTCTCTTGTTTTTTTTGTGAGCTTGGATGGTAAGCAACTTGTCTGGAAGTCTCAACTTTTCTCATCCAAAAAGTGGAGATAATACTACCTACCTCAGAGTTCTTATGAAGATAAAATGAAATCGTGCATGTGAAGAGAGCTTAGCAGAGTTTTTAGGGTGTTGTAAGTAGACGTTAAATTTTAATTATTTCTGCAGTTCTGTTTTTAGAAGGCTTTGCTTTATTTGGGGCTGGAACCTGTCTCACTCCGGATCACTTCCCTGGCCCTGTCTCACGGGCCAGAGACGGAGCTAACCTGTTTTCCACAAGGCAGCACTTAAAGATTTATTTTGAAGACATCCATGGTATCCCCTCTTGACAGTTTCTTCTCTCCAGGATAATAATAATCTCTTCATTCACCAGTTACTCATATTACATGGTTTCGGATCCCCTCACCATTTTAATTGCTTTCCTTTGAATATTCTTCAGTTTTTCTAAATTGCTCTTAGACAGTGAAGCCAGAATTCAGTACTTAAGGTAAAGCGGAACAGACCCCTCCCTTGTTCTACACATTGTTCTTTAGTTAGTGCCTCCAGTATTGTCCCATGCTGTTGACTTAACAACACAGGAAGTTCAGGGCAGAATAATTTCAGTTGGATTGTGCAAATAATTACTTAATAGAATTGACATGACTATATGTTTTTCCAGTTCTCTGTACTTTCCTGGGTGTAGTCTGGTAAGACTGGAAACAAAATGATAATAATGTGCTTTATAAACAGAATTTCAGTAGTATTACAGATTTGCTATTCTTAAAACTGATTTGAAATGCAGTTTTGTCATCATTATAGTATGGTCTTTGAAAGGTGAAGGGACAGCTTTTGTTATATTTCTTTTGCCTTCTCCATTTTAAAAAAAGTAAGGTATTTACAGATAGTAAAATGTATGCTTTTTAGTATACAGTTAGGCGAGTTTTGATAAAAGTGTACAGTCAGTTACCCAGCAACAAAATCAAAACATGATATAGTCCCATCACCCTCAGAAATGCCCCCGACTCCTCTGTAGTTGTTTTGCTGTTTGAAAGATGACATTCTGATAAGTATGTTGAGAATATGGAGCAATGTATAGTTGAAAAAAGGTATTGATGTTCATTTGGAGATCTGTGTAGTGGGATAACATGTATTTTTCCTGTCCTTGAAATCCAATGCTGTAAAACCTCACGAATGGGAAGTAGCCATTCTCTTTAACCCCCCTCTCCCTTTTTCTGGTTCAGTGAGAACAAGTTGGTGATGAAAGAACAGGCATTTCTTCAGTTTTAGTATCACAATTTATTTCTCTAAAAATTATTATCATTGTTTCTCTGCCTTACATTGGTTAGAAAATTTCAGATAAAAAACTGGGAATCACATTATGGCTAAATAATATCCTATAAATATAAATGCATTGAGAAAATTTTTTTAGCAAAGGAAGAGAATCCCATTTTCCTTCAAACAGGATTTGAAAAGGTAATCATTGCACTGTTTAGAATGACAGTTTTCCCTGCCAGGTATCGGGTCATTTCAGTGTTTTTCCTCTTCTGATCTTTCTCTTCTTTGGCTCTAGCTGACCCCATAGTGCCCTGTAATGACACTCGATGGAGCCAGAAGTGGCAGTCGTCCCGTCCCCTGCGAAGAGCCAGTCTCTCCCTGGGCTCTGGTTTCTGGCACGCGACAGGAAGACATTCGAGTCGACGGTTGCTGAGAGCCATCCCACGCCAGGTTGCCCAGACACTCCAGGCAGACGTGCTCTGGCAGATGGGATATACAGGTGTGTGCTGTGCATCCTGAAGCCACACAGGGTCTGGTGTCCAGGAGGTGTCCCCTCTCAAGTGCATGGCACTGAAGCCAGGC